CACAGACACAGACACACACACAGACACATATACACACAGACACACAGACACACAGACTCACACACACACACAGACACAGACACAGACACATATACACACAGACACACACAGACACACACATACACGCACACAGACACAGACAGACACACACACACACACACACACACAGACACAGACACACACACAGACACATATACACACAGACACACAGACACACAGACTCACACACACACACAGACACAGACACAGACACATATACACACAGACACACACAGACACACACATACACGCACACAGACACAGACAGACACACAGACACACACACACACACAGACACAGACACATATACACACAGACAACACACACAGACACATACACAGACACACACAGACACAGACATACAGACACGCAGACACAGATATACACACACACAGACACAGACACGCAGACACAGACACACACACACACACACACACACACACACACACTCACACACAGAAGCTTACAGCGGGTGGTGGTGGGAGATGAGCAGAAATAGACCCTCTAGTTAGACTGACACTTTCTCTGGTGAAGTGCTGAGGAGCCTGGGGCTTTTCCGCTATTCAAATGAGGTGATTCTCCTGTGGATTTTTTGTTTTTCGAGACAGGATTTCTCTGTGGCTTTGGAGCCTATCCTAGCACTTGCTCTTGTAGACCAGGTTGGTCTCAAACTCACAGAGATATGCCTGCCTCTGCCTCCCTAGTGCTGGGATTAAAAGTGTGAGCCACGACACTAGGCCATATGGAATATTTTTAGCTCAGGGGGTCTAGCTCAGGGCCTCTCACATGTTAAGTGAACACTGTATCTCTGATCTCAGACCAATATTTTTGTAGGATATCCTACAGTCTAGGCTTTGTGATATTTTCTTGATTAGGTTTGTGTTGTGAGTTTGGGACAGGAAACCATTGTTTCCAGAAGTTGGGCAATGGACCAGCCTGGTGGCAGAACGTCTGGGGACCACAGGAGTGTGGGAGAGCAGTCACATGGTCCTGGCAGACCAACTGAGGGGTGGGTATCAGAGGGCACCTGGGATTCTAATTTGGGAGAAAGACTCAGGATGGGGAGAGACACTAGATGTGTGGGCTTGGAGCTATAGGGGAGGTGTCTGAAGGAAAAAGTGATGGGTTGGCCAAGTTGGAGACAGAGGTCAGAAAAGAGGCAAAGCATGGTGTGTGTGTGTGTGTGTGTGTTAGAGAATGTGCCCTTATTCTCTTCTTTGTGTCTCTGGTCACATCCCTTGTGTCACCATTCCTGTTCCTCACAATCTTCCAGCCTCCGTCCATAGATGCCTCAGGATGTCCAGATGCAGGCTCTAGGAGGGACTCTGGCTGGCTTGTCTGTAGAACCTGGCCCAGCAAAAGGTTGCCCTTCCCCCATCCCCCCCTCCCCCACTGCTGACTCCCACAGGCCTCTTCAGTACACTCACCAGCCTGCAGAGCTACAGAACCCTGGAGGAGCTCATCTCTGCCATGCCCCAGACCTCCACACAGTGGCCCATCTACTTCAAGTCAACGGAAAGAATTATTACGGAGGCCACGGTGGTGCCTGCGGATCAGCTGCTCAGGCTCGAAGCTGTGGAGATACATCATGGGACCCACTATGCATGCTGTGTCCAGGACTCAAAGGCCCAGGAGATCATCCATTATCTGCCCCTTTCCCAGAAGGGACCCTTCTGGAGATGCAAGCCTGCTGCCCCTCAAACCCTGCTCCAAATCCTGCAGGATCCAGCTATGCAGGGCCTTATGCTCACCTGCCCCTGCCTACCCTGGCGCTCCGTGATCCTGAAGTCCCAGTATATGCTCCAAGCCGTGATGCACAGTGAGTTACCTGGGCAGGTGGGCAGGCAGGAGTAGAGTGGTTGGGAGCTGGACAGTTCAAAGATACCCCTGACCCTGTGCACAGCCTGGGGCTCCAGCTTGTTTATCCAGTGTCTGCCACGTAACAGAATACAGATGCCCAATGAAACAGGAAATAATGGCATAAGAAGAGATAGGAAAATAGAATGAACACACCCAAGGTCCCTCATGCTTTACAGAGTTGGCCAAGGTTAGATTCCACACTAGCCAGGGCTACATAGATGCTGTCTCAAAACTGCAAAAACAAAACAATTAATTAATTAAAAGGGGGATTAGCAAGGTAGCTTAGTGCATAAAAACATTTGTTGTGAAAATTGTCCTCTGACCTCCATGTTTTCTT